ATCATTGCTTGCATTTATCTCAGTTCCCTTAACTAAAAAGTGACAATTAAGTTATGTTTCTAATGATGGAAATAGCTAATAGTTACAATAGAGCACTTAAAAATACAACATGTAAATTAAATATTAATATACATTTCTAAATGTATATTAATGCGCAATATTTAAATTAAATATTAGTCAGTGAATATTCATCATCCTACTACTGTCACACAGGGAAACCTAGAACATGACTAAACCTACTTGTTTTAAAAGATGAGGACAGGTGTGTTATTACAGGAGAGCTGTGAGAAATACTAGATGACAACATCGGGTAGCTAGTCGAAAGAGTATGGTTGTTAAAAATTACAAACCTGGATTCAAGCCCTTATTTTTCTTTTTGGCTCTTCATATTTGGGAATTCTAGCTGCTTTATTGTCCCTACTTGTGAAATGATAATAACAACAAATGCTGATATCATGCTCACTGTGTGTTAGGGACTGTCTAAGTGCTTTGCGCATATTAACTCAGGTAGTCCTGTAGTACCCATTTGTGTGTGAGGAAACCGAGGCACAGACATGTAACCTGTCGGTGATCACACAGCCTATGGTTAGAACATGAAAGGTCTGAGCCTGTGTGGCCACAGTCCTATGACATACAGTATTTCACATGAGGATTATACACTGACCTCAGCATTGTGTGGGGATGAACTAATAAAACGCACATGAGAGCTCCTGTCCAGGGTAAACATCCACTAAATGTCAAAAGCCAAACTCAGCTGTATTCCCACTAGACTCACATAATCATCTCAGCTGATTTTGTGCCTCGCCGTAGCTGAAGTCACAGATATGATGAATGCTCATCTGTGGCTGTGCAGTTTCTGCCCTACCAGCTGGCAGTCTCTTGTGTAGGAAGCTGAATCCCATTTGCAACCACAATTAATTCCTTCAGTTGATCAAATTGATTCTATCAGCTTGTCAGTTTGTGGAGGATTTAAGATAGGGTTTCTCTCTTGAGTTTTGATTTTACTTGGCAGAATAAGTGTGCACTGTGAAGGGCTCCTCCACCCACGGAAAAGAAGCTACTACACAGTGCTCTTCATCCCTGTCTCGATTCCAATCTGAGGCCGGATTCATTCAAAAGCCCGTTTCATGCTACTGGAAACTGTTAAAGCCACAGAAGCCAGCCTGCTATCATTTCCGAAAGTGAGGACGTGTGCTCCCTTCACCACGTTGTAGTGGAGAGCATTTTCACTCTAGTTCTTCCAAGGAATGCTTTAACAAAATAGTGCCCTGATTCGCTAGTATATCCACTCACCTCTGGGCAACGGACTGGCTACTCCTTCGTGGAGAGTTTCTACTGTCAAACTTCCCAAATGCAAGCACAAGTTTTTCTTCAAATAAGTTTTAAAGAAAGATGGGTGTGGTTTTTTTTTTTACAGCTACTGCATTAAAATGTTAATTTTAAGTGAAACACTTCCGCGTGAGGAATAGCTTTTCTCAAGTAAGCATTAAGAGTGTCCTTAGGAAGATAAAATTTATTTTCTAGTTCACAATAGATAAGAAGTAATGACTGTCCCCGTGGAAACCTCACCACTGATCTCCTCTTGGATCTTTCACAGGCCCGCCTGCCTGTGAAGTGGATGGCCCCTGAAAGCTTGTTCGAAGGGATCTACACAATTAAGAGTGATGTCTGGTCGTACGGAATATTACTCTGGGAGATATTCTCACTCGGTAAGTTTGACAGTTTGCTGCCCTGTCTGGGCCCAGGCCTTCAGGACAGGCTGTCCCTCTCCGCCCCTCCCCAGCTCCCAAGTCAGAGTGGGTGAAATGCCACCTGTAATGCACCCAGAGCCCCCGAGCCTTCCTTCTGTTGCAACAGGTGCCACTTGGTGTTTTACTTGCCAGTGTCAATAGTTCTGTCTTCAGCCTGTACCCAACTTGAGAGCAGGAACCATGGCTTTGCCTTATATAGCAGCCTAGCATAGTTCACTGTCTGGCCCACGGGCACTCACCACACATGCTTGTTAATTGAGTGAATGAATAAAGAAATGAAGAATGGTAAATGCTTGCATTCCCCAATGTTTTCCTCAGGTGTCAATCCTTACCCTGGCATTCAAGTTGATGCTAACTTTTATAAACTCATTCAGAGTGGATTTAAAATGGACCAGCCATTTTATGCTACAGAAGAAATGTAAGTTCACACAGGCTGTAAAGTGGCTGAAATCAGAAATGTGCGGTCTGTCTAGTTCCCAATGCATGACAAAAAAAGTAAAACTTCTTACTGCAAAGCTTATATGATTCCTCTTAGAAAAAGAAAACTCTTCCTTTGTGTTTGGTGGAGGGGGTGGGGGGCAGAGGGGGTGGGGGGCAGTTCTGAACAAAACTGAACCTTTCCTGCCCTGAGGTACTCTCACTTCTGGGTTTCAGTTCCTCTGCTTGAGGGATCCATGAGGGTGATAAGACTCCATTTCCTGACTTCTGTTCATGCTATATTTTTTTAAATGCATTTCTGTTTATTGTTGCATTTGTCCTTTCTGGTGTGAGTTCAAAATCTAGTCGAGTACTTGCTACAAAACAAGCGTGCCGTAAACAAGCAGCTCCCTGGCAATCAGTGGTATTTCATTATGTGAAAAATGCTTCCTATTTCTTTGTTTAGATTTCCTCATCTTGCTGCCTGCTCTGTTACTCTTACAGATACTTTATAATGCAATCCTGCTGGGCTTTTGACTCAAGGAAAAGGCCATCCTTCCCTAACCTGACCTCGTGTTTGGGATGTCAGCTGGCAGATGCAGAGGAAGCGGTATGTGGCAGCACTTTCTCCCTTGTGATGAGAAGGAAAGCAGTGAGAACACTCTTTGCTGGTTTCCTAAGAACCAAAGGCACCAAGTTGTCTTCCTCACCCCAACTTGTCCTGGTCACTCTGTAAAAGTTATGTGGGCTGATATCAGGGCTGATACGCCTGAAACTAATATAATATTATACATCAAGCGTAATTGAACACTTTTACGGAAAAATTAAACTTAATTTTAAAAAAGAGAAAGGTAGTTTAGGTAAGACATATTTATTGATAAATGATTAGGGGGGAGGGAGGCTTTTCCTGGAAATATCAGCCAATGGACTAAGAAATTAAATGCTTTTAAGCGTCAGGTGCAGAAGACTAGACAAATAACTAAAACGTAATCCCTGGCCTACCGTTCCTAATTCAATGTGAAGCTTTGTACAGTGCAATCATGCAATATAGTAGAGTGGGGAGAACACGGACCCAGAGCTGTGAGAGCCAGATACCAGCTCTACCATTCTGCCCACTAATAGCTGTGTGCTTTATGGCAAATCACTTTATTTCTCTGGGCCTTAGTTTTCTTACCTATAGAATGGGTTAAGCTAGATGATCCCTGAATTGCAGGAACATGGACTTACTTTGAGGACTCTTCTTCTTATCAGTACCACCTGGTGCAGCAAAAGGAGCCGTTGCCTAGGTGAAGTGAGCAAAAGATAGTGTCTTGAATTCTGTATACCTAGGTTCAAATCTTGGCTCCATCATTTGCTTCTAATAAGACTTAAGTCATTTAGCTTTTTCTGGGATCTCAGACATTATCTGAAATATAGGATTAACAAACCTTACTTTGTGAAGTTGTAAGGAATACTTAAGGTGAGATATGTGAAAAGACTTACCACATAGTGGGTATGTAGTAGTTACTCAATAAATGTGACTTAAATATAATTATGATTCTTTAAATGAATTGTCTGTCTTCTGTTTTAAAATTATTAAGCATCCATTTTCAATTCTGTGTCTCTCTCAAGGCCTGTGTAGATGGTGAGTGTCCCATTCTCCTGCTCTGACTTTTTAAAAATCACATATAGAAACAAGGTTATTGCCAGGAAATTATGTCCAAGAGGTTGGGGGACATAGAAAGCCCCCAACGGACTATAAGCTATTGAAAAGATGACTTGTAAACAGTTAATGAAACTATGAAATAAACTGAAAGAAGAGTGATAGAGAGAAACAAGAAATGAGCTGTTTGCATAAAGAAAAAGGGTCGAGTGATTTTTACTTGCCAGGGGGTTAGGTATGGATTTGCAGAGGTCTTTGAACTATGGTGAAGAATGCATAGTATTTTGGCCATTGGAGAATGGAGGGTTAGTAGTGTGTTCCATGCTAGATGAGTAATATAAAGGGTCAACGTCGAGAAATCAGAATGGGAAATAACTGGTTGTGGCTGCGGTATTGGGTGAGGGGGGAGGGTGTGGGAGGAACAAGACGGTGAAGGCAGTGCAACCAACTGCCAGGTCCGGTCCACAGAAAAGATGTGTTGTTACCACTCATCCTGAAGGGCAAAGGCACACTGTCGTTATGCAGACTGGACAGAAAGGATATATGTATTTTTTTGTTTTCTAGAAAGAAAAATTCAGAGTAGGAAACAGTCCATTCATTTAACAGTATAACTGATTGTCTAAAACAAATGAATAACAACAAAGACAGTAGCAAGGAGTGGGGAAGTGGAGGAGTCTGTCAAACTTAAAGAATGCACCATCTCTACCTCATAAGGAGTTCTTATAAATAATAAGGAAAACATGTCAGCCCAATATACAAGGGCAAAGGAGATAAGCAGACTATTCACAATTAAATGCAAAAAGCCATTGAATACAGAAAAAGATGCTTAACTTTGCTTATCATGAAACATATGCAGATAGGTAGGGAAATAAAACATGTTGCTGGACGAAGGGCTAGAGACTAGAAAGATTGTTACTACCCACTGTCGGTGAGGCTCTGAGAAAAAAGTTTTCCCACACACAGTTGATAGGAGTACAAATAAGGAAACTCTTCCGTAGGGCAGCCCAGGTCAAGTGTATCACAGATCAACTGTGCATCCCCTTTGGTCACCTCCCCCACTTCTCCCAAAGACAGACATGGTCACATGTGTACTTTTTCACTTTATATCATATAAATAGTCCATCAAAAAGTTAATTGTGGTACATCAGTACTACAGAACCCTAGGCTGCCATTAAAAAGATATGTGTTTGGTGCTTGCTTCAACAGCACATATACTAAAATTGGAACAATACAGAGATTAGCATGACCCCTGCGCAAAGATGACATGCAATTTGTGAAGCATTCCATGTTTTTAAATGACAACCAACTCATAACTATCAACAACTGAACCTAAAAGACAAAAACAAAAACCAAGCAAACAACTAGAACAGGAACAGAATCCCAGAAATGGAGATCATATGGAGGGTTATCAGTGGGGAGGGGGAGGGGAAGAATGGGGGGAAAAGGTACAGGGAATAAGAAGCATAATTGGTAGGCATCAAGTAGGCAAGGGAGGTTAAGAACAGTATAGGAAATAGAGAATCCAAAGAACTTATATGTATGACCCATAGACCTGAACTAAAGTGGGGGGAGACTGGTGGGGGTGGGTGCAGGGTGGAGAGGGATAAAGAGGAGAAAAAATTGGGACAACTATAATAGCATAATCAATAAAATGTACTTAAAATAATAAAAAGATATGTGTTCATGTTTAGTAAATAGTGAAAATATGTAGCATGTAAAGTGAACATAGTTGACACATGTAACATATAAACAACACACTAGTAATTAAAAATAAGGTTCTGAAACAGAATCTGCAGTCTGCACTGGCTGATACAAATTCATATGCATGCATAGCAAGCTGTCTATAATGGAGAGTACCTCTGATGGTCTTAGCTTTTTCTATAGAACATTCTATATTGCTTATATTATCTACATAAACATGTATTAATTTGATAATCAGACAGAAAAGTAGAGATGTTTTCATTTTTACAGAAAATAATTTCAAAAAAACAATTAAAAGTCACTAAATTCCCAAGTGAGAACTGAAGAATCAGTCTCCTGTATTATTTGCATAATGAACAGATGTCTTTTTTTGTGGACTTTCTCTTTTGTGGTTTTTCTTCTTGGCCTTAGGTTTTCTAGATGAAGATATTATATCTAAAAGTAGAAACAATAATGAAATAAAATATTTGACTATGACTCGATTTCTCCATTAATATAAGGACCAAAATTGCTTTGTCAGTTAATGCACAGAATAGCTTCTAAGGCCTGTGCACACTGAAAACAAGTAATACTTTGTGATGTAGGCACATAACATGGGAAGTCTTCCTCAGATGATGGGTATTCTGTCTCTTTCCCATATTCAGATGTATCAGAACATGGATGGCCATGTTTCCAAACGTCCTTCTGGCTACCAAAACAGGCGACCTTACGGCAGAGAGGTGGATGCAGGGCTACCCTCTCCTCAGGACCACACTGAAGACTCATAGAGAAACAATTTAGTCTTAAGGACTCCTCCCTGCACCTGCCCACCTTCAACAGGTTATCGATTACCAAAACAAGATTAACTTTACCACTAAGAGGAAATGTATTCTCAACTGCTGCTTCGCTGGATTTTTTCTCTAGAAGTTCTCTGTATTTACTCTTGTTTTCAAAGGAACTTTTGTAAAACTGAATTTGCACAAGGCAGGAAGAGCTTATTGGAGCATCTACCTACATCCAGAGGCCTTCCCAGGCTGGCTTGAGGGAAAATTGTGTACCTAAAGTATAGTATATTCTTGTAAATACATAAAACAGAAGCATTTTGCTAAGGAAAAGCTAATGTGATTTTTTAATTCTATGTTTTAAAATAATATGTAACTTTTATAGCTATTTAGTGATATATTTTATGAATGGAAATAAAATTTCTACTACAGAAATGTTTGTTACTGAATTGTTTACACAGTATATTTAGGGCAAGACTCACCTGGAGTTCATGAACCTACTGAAATTGTGTGTGATGTTTTGTTGGTGCATGTGTATTTTTTTTTCCTACTGAGAAGGCCCATTGTTTCATCAGATTCTTTTTTTAAAGGTTTTATTTATTTAGTTTTACAGAGAGGGGAAGGGAGGGAGAAAGAGAGGGAGAGAAACACCAATGTGTGAGAGAAACATTAATCAGCTGCCTCTCATATGCACCCCAACCAGGGACCAGGCCCACAACGTAAGCATGTGCCCTGACTGGGAATCAAACCAGTGACCCCTCACTTAACAGGATGATGCTCAACCGAGCCATGCTAGTCAGGGTTCATCAGATTCTTAAAAGGACTCGTATTCCTGCCTCCTAGACTAGAACAGCTGATGTTGGACATCCGCTGTCCTCTCTATAGAACTGCTTTGATGCTCCCTTTGTCCTTTGAAACTTAGCACTCTCCACCCCATAGGCTTATAAACTTGGACTTGTCCTCTTTCTTACATGCCAGGTGTAGTTCTTGGTGAAGAATGTGGTGAAGTTCTGCCTCCTCTTTCTTCTTGTCCTCGCTTCTAGTATAGTGGTTACAAATAAGAGCTCTCTACCACTTTTTAGCTTTGCAATGTTGGGCAAGTAACTGAACTTCTATAGGTCCCAGTTTTCTCTTCTGGAAAAATCAGATAATAATGGTATCTATCTTATAGGGCTATTGTGAGAATTAGATGAATTACATATATCTATATGTATACATATATTACACAAACATATAAATCACTTAGATCAATGCCTGGACAGTAAGATAATCTAATGTCATGTGTGCTTCCTTTTCTGCTTTTAATTTTTTGCTGTAGATCAGGCCTCCACAAACTCACTTAGAATACACTGATTTCTTCTTCACCTAACTCTGCTCCCTGTCTCTCCACCACCCAGTGTTTTCTGTGAGCCACAGACATCTTCATCTTCCCAAAGTATTGATCTACATCTATTACTCCTGGGTTGGAGAGCTTTCAGTGGTTCTGTGTTCTACCTGCTAAAGTCAGATTCCCAGCATTCGGGCCCCCGCAGCTGGTTCAACTGAATTTCTTATATTAGATAACATGTCCTGAATCTGTCTAGTCCAAACCTCCCAGCCCTGTTCAGTGAAGATGCCAAAAGCATTCTCATCTGTTTCTTCTCTTCACCCTCCCTCTACTTGAGATGCCAACTCCCTCCTCCTCTCTCTATTTAAGCCTTTGCTTCATGAGCAGACTGGTGCTCTGTCTTCTGCTCAGGTCTTTCTCAGCTCTATCCACCATTAGTGATGGCTCCCCTCACTGAAATTTTGTACGGGCTTTGTGTCTGTATCGTCTGCTTGGCTCTGAACATATAGTCTACCTACCTTACATGACGATGTGTTTTCTTTTTTATTTTATTTTTATTTTTTTAGTTTATACATAATTTGTTTATTTCTTAATTAAAACTTCTTTATGGGTTTTTTTTTACTGTTCAAGTACAGTTGTCCGCCTGATGACTTATTTTCTTAAGTAAACATCCTTTTGAAAATGAAGATATGATTTGTGCCAAGCTGTGTGCCTCACTTCTATTTGTATGTCTAGTCAGGACACAATATTTTTTATCTACTTAAAGCATAAAATATGGTTGATATTAAACATTCAAATAATTTTATGTTTTTACTTATAGTAATAGTGAAATTTCTCCTTCGTGTACTCAAATCCCAAAATGCTTCTTTGGGAGAACCACTGTTCAAATTTAAGGTATATTTTCTCCATCTTGTTTAAAGATCATTATGTTACTCACATGTGTTTACACACAAACACACATGTGGAGGTCTTTGGGGTTTTTAAACAAATATTTTTAGAGAGAGGGAAACAGTGATGTGGCACAGAACCATTGATTGGCTGCCTCTTGCAGACACCCCGACCGGGGACAGAGCCTGCAACCCAGGCATGTGCCCCTGCTGGGAGTCAGGCTGGCAGCCTTTCACCTTGTGGAATGACGCCCAACCAACCGAGCCACACTGGTCAGAGCCAGAGGTCTTTGTTTTTACATAAATGGAATTATACTAGTCATACTGTCAAACAGATTTTTTATTTTTCACAAGATGCTGATATTTTTCTCAACTATGTAGTTTGTGTGCTAAGCATTTGCTAATTTCATATGCATGATCTCATTTCACCTTCATAAATACCTTATGAAATAGATACCAAAATCACACTAATTTTTTTCTAAGGAAATTGAAACAGGTTAATAACTTGCAGTCAAGTCCCTGTTAACATTTACCTTGCAATTTCTCTTGGGTTCTATTATTATTTTATTTATTGTATTTATTATATTTATTTTAAATTATGATTAAAAAACCTAATATAAGACTTACCATCTTGAACATTTTTAAAATTTTATTTATTTTTTTTCTAGAGAGAGGGTAAGGGAGGGAGAAAGAAGGAGGGAAACAATGTGTGAGAGAAATATTTTTTCTAAAAATATATTTTATTGATTATGCTATTACAGTTGTCCCATTTTCCCCCTTTATTCCCCTCTGCCCTGCACACCTCCTCCCAAACTCATTCCCCCCTTAGTTCATGTCCATGAGCCATACATATAAGTTCTTTGGCTTCTACATTTCCTGTACTATTCTTAACCTCCACCTATTTATTTTGTACCTATCATTTATGCTTCTTAGTCACTGTACCTTTTCCCCCATTACCCTCTGCCCCTCCCCACTGGTAACCCTCCATGTGATCTCCATTTCTGGGATTCTGTTCCTATTCTAGTTGTTTGCTTAGTTTGTTTTTGTTTTAGGTTTGATTGTTGATGGTTGTGAATTTGGTGTCATTTTACTGTTCACATTTTTGATCATCTTCTTTTTCTTAGATAAGTCCCTTTAACATTTCATATAGTTAGGGCTGGGTGATGATGAACTCCTTTAACTTGACCTTATCTGGGAAGCACTTTATCTGCCCTTCCATTCTAAATGATAGCTTTGCTGGATACAGTAATCCTGGATGTAGGTACTACTCTTTCATGACTTTGAATATTCTTTCCAGCACCTTTTTGCCTGCAAGTTTTCTCTTGAGAAATCAGCTGATAGTCTCATAGAAACTCCTGTGTAGGTAACTGTCTCCTGTTCTCTTGCTGCTTTTAAGATTCCCTCTTTATCTTTAATCTTGAGTAATGTAATTATGATGTGCCTTGGTGTGTGCTTGCTTGGGTCCAACTTCTTTGGGACTCTCTGAGCTTCCTGGACTTCCTGGAAATCTATTTTCTTTGCCAGACTGGGGAAGTTCTCCTTCATTGTTTTTTTTTTTCAAATAAGTTTTCAATTTCTTGCTCTTCTTCTTCTCCTTCTGACACCCCTATGATTTGG